TCTGAGGGTGGTTCCAGAAGCCAGAATCCAGGAGGGAGGGACATCTGTGGGGTCGTGATCAGTACTGGGGGCTGACTCCCAGGGCACTCCCTCTGAGCGTGCCTGAATGAGGAAGGATGGGAGCAGAGGTCTCCTGGGACCAGGATGAGGGCAGAACAGAGCAAGGGTCCTGGGGTCCCGGAGGTTATCTGGTTGGTCACCGTATCACCCTCCTGAGGCTTTTTTTGGTCCCGCTGCAAAATGGGCTCACAATGGCATTTCATGCACATTGGAGAGATGTCATTCTTCCAACCTGTGGCCAAGGTTCAGGAAATCCAGGACCTGGGTTCAATCCCCACCCCCATTTCCCCCCACCTCCACGCACACCAGCTTCCTCGAAAGGGGACAAGCAGGGGGCTGGGGGGTGTTGTCGTCGACATCTGCTCAAGCCCACGCCCACTGCTGTGAGCTCATCTCAACGGCCCAAGTGCCTACTTGGACCCAGGGACTCTGAGAGGAGAGATCCCACCCCCACCCACCTTGTCTCAGTGCCCCTGCAGGGGACCCGTGGTGCAGTGGCTAAGTTAGGTGCGCTAAGTTAGGGAGACCGTTCCTGAGGAAGGCTGTCCGGGGAAGGGGGAGGGCTGGGCGTGATTGCCGGTCCCTAGAGACCCACAACCATTTTCTCAAAGTGTGATCAGGGGATGGTGCTTGCTACGAGTACATATCCCCCCGGGGCCTCCTGGCCCCTGGCTGGCATTGCTCCCAGGCCCGGCACCCCAGATGCTCCACCCACTCAAGCTCCCAAGCTGATTCCGCTGTCCCCCAAACATTCAGGACCACTGCCCGATGAAGTCTCGTCCATCTGGGGTCCACGTAGACCCTCAGATGCCCTTCAGCGTGAGTGTTGTTATCCCCACTTTGCAGGCGAGAAGACTGAGCCCCGAGAGGTGAAGTGAGCTGCCCCGGGGTCACACAGCCAGGGAGTGGCAGACCCAGGCTTTGAAAGCAGGACTCCTGCTTCCAGAGCCCATGTTGCCCCTGGACCCAGGACAGAGCCTGGCCCAGGTAACGCCTCCTTCTCTGTGGAATAACTACAGGAATGAATGAATGAATGAATGAATGCAGTGCAGCTGCCACCAAAAGAGATTTCTTTAAGAGAGACTCTTAACGGGTGCTCTCACGGGTAGCAACCTCACCGGATTTCGTTCCGGGGTCAAACAAAGCTAGCCCGAGGGCAAAGGGCATAAGGAAAATCGCCAAGGTCAAAAGACGCAAGGACTTCCGGCTTCTCCAGGCTCGCCTTTGTTTCTTTCACTCTCCCTCCCCACAGCCATCTCTTTCCACCTCCATTAATGAAACTGTTCCTCTCCTCTTCTATCTCTTCATCACCTGTATTTATTATCATTTAAAAATAAAAGATTTCCGAGAGGGGGAAGAAAAAATGCTCCGAGCTGTGCCCGTAAGGAAGCTAGCCAGGCCCTTCCCCCCACCCCCACCCAAGCGGTGCCCTCCAGCTCTGGGAGAAAGGGGCCGGCTCCTCTGCCTCGCTGCCCCCAGGCTGCGATTCTGGCAAACCTGGGCAGTGAAACCACATGTAT